CACACGCGATTGGATTTCTATTACGAATGGAAGTAGACTCTCCTCAATTTCCTATTATACGCCTTCGAAAAGAAGTGCGGGTAGATATGCGTTTGGTTTCCTCAACGGCGCTTAGCAGTTTCCTCACTGATTATAGAAGTGCATATATGAATCCGAGTAGAAGGTATAAAAGTAGTTGAATATTTTCCAAAATTTCCTCAGAATTTTACTTTGACACCAACATATGTGGTTGACAATGTGCATAATGTACCATACTGTCGTAAAGTGTTCGTGATAGTTGTCTGGGAACAGGTTGCTTACGTAGTCATAAACCCGTCAACTACAAAACCCAACAATGATCGTAATATTACTTTCACCACTACGAGTATTGTCTACCCCATCACTAATACTTAATCAGAGAGCAATTGCCTTTATAGCGATATCCAAGAATGGTTCAAATACCGGCTTATCACTGACCGAGCAAAGTGATAGGAGCAAACACCAAAAATAAATTCACGGATGAATTCGTCGCCATCCTCAATACATCGGCTCCATGTCGTACTCCCCCTCCTCCTCATCAAACTCTCCCTCCTCCTCCGCAGTGGCATCCTGATACTGTTGATACTCCGAAACCAAATCGTTCATATTAGACTCGGCCTCAGTGAACTCCATCTCGTCCATACCCTCACCCGTATACCAGTGGAGGAACGCCTTCCTCCGGAACATCGCAGTGAACTGCTCAGCAACACGTTTGAACATTTCCTGGATAGCCGTCGAGTTACCCAAGAATGTCACAGCCATCTTGAGACCCTTAGGAGGGATATCGCAGACGCCACTCTTGATGTTGTTGGGGATCCACTCGACAAAGTAACTCGAATTCTTGTTCTGAACGTTGAGCATTTGCTCGTCGACCTCCTTCGTTGACATCCTGCCGCGGAATAACGCGCTTGCAGTTAGGTAACGACCATGACGAGGGTCGGAGGCACACATCATATTTTTCGCATCAAACATTTGCTGCGTCAACTCAGGGACGGTCAAAGCTCGATACTGCTGAGAGCCCCTCGAGGTGAGGGGGGCAAAA